GGCTGTGCCGGCGGGCTGCTCTGCGGGCTGGACCGCCTGCCCGTCCCGCCGGGCGCCGCCGCCGCCGCGGGTCCGGCCCTTGGCGTCGCACAAACACACGGAGGGCAGCGCAGTGCTGTGGAGGCGGTTCTGGAGTGTCGACACAGACGCACTTGTAGCCCCGTTGGCATCGGTCGGCTTTCCATCTCGGTGCTTTCATTCCCGACGACTGTTGGTGAAAAGTGGTGCTTCCGTTTTTGTCGTGCGACACACAACGCTGGTGAAAATGGAGAGTGCGATCGTCGTACTCCTGATTTGGGGGGGCCAGCTTCTGGACATGTGTCTGGCGCTCTGGCGATGCCTGGCGGGGATGCTCGGGCTCGGGTGCGGGTCACCTCGGATCGTGCCGCTCAGCGTCAACTACTTCTTGACCAGGAAGTGCAACTACAAGTGCGGCTTCTGCTTCCACACCGCCCTCACGTCCTTCTGCATGCCCTTGGAGGAGGCCAAGAAGGGCCTCAGTCTGCTCAAGGACAAAGGTGAGCACTGACAACAGACTTCATGCAGAGAGAGGGCGGAGAGCGCTTTACTTTACATGGTGGTGACCATGCCACGAGTCGAAATTAGGAGCCTCGCCGGGCGCAAGGTGAAACATGCCTCGCGATCAAGGGGTGCTCGCGATACCCCGAAATCGCGTCTTAGCTGTAACTTGGCGCGTGGATAGTGAAAGGTCCTTCACAGGTCCTTTACCCTCCGCCCGCACCCTCCGCGATATTGTCTGACTGCCCCCCTACCGTGAATGAGTTGTGCAAACGTTGTACTCAACAGTTTTTTACCCGGGCAAAAGTTGATGACTTACGCACAAGTTCCCCACGGAATCATCCAGAAAGTACAATTACATCCGTCATTCGATGTTTGGCGGATGGAAGCTCCCATGGCGCCTGATGGGTAGGCAAATACCTTCCACGTGGCACACGCGTGTACTGCGGGGTGGCCTACCCTGAGTCTCGCAGGCGCTGAGCTCCCGCAATTTGATTATGAATGAATCTGAGAAAAACCAACGTGTATAGTGAGGAGCAAGTAATAATAGAACCGTACACGAAGGAGATCAAGTTGTCAAGTGGTTTATTCAGGTAGAGACACAACAAGAGGTAAACAGTAAGAACAAAAGTATCGATGGTCGTGCCAACCGTGCCAACCGTGCCAACCTAAGGATGTAAAACATTACCGAAGTTATAAATTCCACCCCCCCCCCCTTCCCCCTGGGGCAGCTGCAGCTCGCCGTGCTCCGCGTGCCTCTCGCCACGCCAGGGCTGTCGCCGGCCGCGCGGCCGCCGCACCGCCCTGCTGAGCCTCTGAGTGGGGCTGAGGGAGGGAGATATTGTTTTGGCTTCGTCAGCTTTATTGCACCCCCCCCCTTGGCCCCGGCGCTCGCTGAGACCGTTCCCAGCAGCCAGGACTCTTATCGCTGTAACTCGACCTGCCTCAAGCTCACTCTAATTTTGATAGTTAAATTTGTCTTGGCCGAGAAACAAATTGATCCACGGGAATCTCCTCATCTTTCCGAGACCAACACAGTTTTTTATGGAATTCGTAGGACGGTTTTGAAGGTAGGACTGGACCCAGTCGGAGGCTTGGCTGAGCTGTGCTGTGCTGTCTGCCGGGCGCCAGCGAAGGGGTCAGAGAGCCTGGTTGAGGAACTGTCATGGAAATACCAGGTGGCTGATTCACGCCGCGCACTTCTGTAGTTATGCTGTACCGCATGCACGAGTGCGGGCGGGTTGCCTACTCGCTCGGCTCGTAAGGCGCCGTGGTCAGGGGCGATAGGCAAGCCCGCCGGCACTCATGCATGCGGTGCAGTATACCTACAGAAGTGCGCGGCGTGAATCAGCCACCTGGTATGCAGAATAAGGCGCACGGGACGGACTGGGGGGCCGGTGGAGGAGAGAGGGGGCTGTGGGTTTGTGTGCGTAAAGTCACGAGAGTGCGCAGTGCGCACGCCTGCCCTCCAAAGCCTGCTCTTGGCCAGCCCCCTTGGTCATGAAGGTGTTTAGTTCAAGGACCAAATGGGACTGCAGCGATATGATTGGCTGAGTCGCGCAGTTACGTATTGTTTTGGGCAAGTTAAAGCTAGTTCATGTAACGCCCCTCATTTCAATGTCAGATTGATTTAGTTACCGTGGTCGTGGTGATTCATACTGACAGGATGTGGGACGGCTAGGCCAGGGAACGCATCCCGTATCTTTGACTTGATAAACAGAGTGGCCAGCACATATACACAGGATGGTAGTGTAGGGTGTCCTTTCCCGCGCAAGGGAATACCTCTCGCTCTCGAGGATAGCCCCTCCTCCTCCTCCCTCGTCCTCGCGTCGTCGTCGTCGTCGTCGTCGTCGTCGTCCTCCTCCTCCTCCTCCTCCTCCTCCTCCTCCTCCTCCTCC